TAGTACATTAAAATGAATATAAACATTTGAATATTCTCTCTCTCTCTCCTTTTGAGATCTAGTCAAGAAAATCAAAAATCACAAACTACAGAAATCACTTTAGCCGACAAGAAAATGTAGTTGTGTTTTTGAATCCCATAAATGAAAAACAGGTGGAGTACCAAACAACCTCTTTCACAACATTACAATACATCGGTTAATAATATTTTTCTGATGTTTGATGTATCTCAACTGTTTTAAACTACATTTCCCATCATGCTAAGCAAGCCATTAGCTGAGAATCCTGAGAAATGGATTCTTCCACAACTGCAGAACATTAGTCACCACCGCTTTATATCATCTACTCATTCTACTGTCTCTAACACAACACAGTAAATTTCTGGATAATAAATGCAAACCAGCAGCTCACGGTGATTCACTTGGCTCTGTATAATCCGAGAGAATATTACCTCAACATTAACTCTAGTGTAAACTTAATGTGCTATTACCCACATCTATCATTTGTCACTACGAGCGGGTGTCACTGACGTGCCTGCAAGATAATTACACACTTCAGGGAATGGTTGTTGAAAGTCAAGAGGTCTTTGGGCCTTATATTAAAACCACTATTAACGCTTAAAGGGACTGAGTCTTGTTTATAGTGCTGACTGCTAATTTTATGTCTAATTCTGCTGGTTATGCAGTTTTCAAATGTGTTTTAAGCATGTGCAAGGCAGCTGACAGGTGTCCAGGCATACATAAATGCAGGGCTGATTAGCCAATCTTTGCTGCACTAGGGCCCTATTTGCACATGTAATTCAAGTTTGGTTGCTCGTTATCTGGTTAAAGAAATTATTATTATTATTTATAAAGTGCCAAGAAATCCCACAGTGCTGTACAATAGGTAGGCTAACTAGTTGAACAATTAATTGAAGAAGAAGAATAAAAATGTATAGTATTTTTATTTACATTTAGTTAACAGTGAGCGAAATGTATTGGCTCAAGAAATCTCACCTCTTCAATTATAGAACTAGCATATTCGCTAGTTACATACAACCCCAGAATTCTACCTCTCACACCACAAAGCACTCCCAGTAAACCAATACCTCCACTCATTGGGTCATCACCTGCTTAACCCCTTAAAGTAATTGTACAAGTTCTGACCATAACAAAGCGAAACAAAACTTAGAATTTGAACTACATGTCTGTTCAATCGTAATTTACCCCTTTCATGTTAAGTGTACCCACACTTATTATATATCATTTGTTCAGATGAAAGAGGGCTTTCGTTTCACACTATCTGATATAGATGAAAAAATAACTAAAAAGGTGTGAGAAATTAAGAAATGTTATTTTCCAAGTTCTGCACGACATTTTAACTGTGAATGTCATAATACTGTAATGACATTTACTGCAATACAATCACATATTTTTATGCTCTGGTATCCGAGTACAATGATTATTCCAATGTACAGGTTTTATGTTTTTTTTTTTAGAAAGTTACAGGGTCAAATAAAGAGCTTGCCCATTGACATCGAAATTTGTCAGACAGCTTTGCTTGTCCTACGTTGCCTTTGAGGCCATATGGCAGCCCAGGAATACAAATTGCCCCCATCAAAGCATACCATTTGCAAAAATAGACAACCCAGGGTGTGCAAAATGGGTAGTCCAGCCTTTTTTAGTAGCCACTTAGTCACAATTCCTGGCCAAAGATAGTGTTGATATATTTATTTATTTATTTGCAATTTACACACAAAAAAATGCACTTTCACTGATGATATAATCGTCATCATACATTTTACTGCTATAAAATACTAATCTTTGGGTCCAGCAACATCTCACGAGTACAACAGTAACCTGCATGTACAGATTTTATGAGATTTTGAAAGTTACAGGGTCAAATATAGGACTTGCAAATAAATTCATTGGAATTTCTGCCTGAGTTGTTAGGCAGGTCTCCCAAAATATAATTAATAAAATAATATGATTATATATAAATAATGTATGAATACACAATTAAATAAAATAAATTTTATATATATACTTATATATATATATATATAAACATTTAATTCTAATTGTATATTTATATATATATATATATATGAATATTAATATAAAAATACACTTAAAATTAAGATTATATATATCTATATGTATATAAAATTTAATTCAAAGTTTATTGATATATTATTTAGATGTAATTATCTTATTTTATTAATTATATATTTGGGGACAGGCCTGTCAACTCAGGGGGGTCCACCTGCAGCTAATCCTGTGAGTGAAGCTGATCTGAGTCATATGAGTCAGGCAGGTCCCCGATCGAGATCGGTATGGAGGGTAAATACTGGGCTGGGGGAAGAGTTAAATTATTAATGTCCCTTTTGTAGGATGGCACAGAACACACTTATGTCAGGAAGGGGTTAATGGAATAGTATAGGCATTGAAACAACTTTAGCTTAATGAAGCACTTTTGATGCATAGATCATGCCCCTGCAGTCTCACTGCTCAATCCCCTGTTATTTAGGATTTAAATCACTTTTGTTTATGTTTATGCAGCTCTAGCTACACCTCCAAAAAGTTTTATTTTCAATCAGATGTTGAGATGCTTTAGAAGTTTTTGTATCTCCTGCTCTGTAAATTAAACTTCAATCACATACTGCAGGCTTCTGTAGGCTCTATAAGGCTATTAACAGAGCAGGAGATAATAATTTGTAAATTAAACAGACTGTGCAGTAAAGGAACTTAGAATATCTATGTTCCTTTTCATGAAGTGTTTAGGAAGGCTGTGCAAGTCACATGTGACTAGGGCTGCATAAACAAAGTGATTTAACTTCTGAATGGCAGCAAATTGAGCAGTTAGGCATCAGGGGCATAATCTATACGGAGAAAACTGCTCCATTATGCAAAAATTATTTCCCGTTAATGTGGCCAAGGACTTATAAATATTCCTATAATACAGCCAAGGCTGTTCCCTGCTCACTGGAAACCAGTTCCCTTGGCACTCTCCATTAAGGAATGGATTAACGGGGGGAATCAATGCGACTTGACTTTCTCTTACCTACAAATATCAGACATACAATCATAGGAAAAAGAAAGTAGACCCACTTTGAATGATATGATTGTACATATCAGGACATAATAACAATCATCTGTTTCTTAGCAGGTCTTAAAATTAGTTAAATACAACTTCTGCTGAACAACTACACATGGCATATTACACCGTGTCATGATTTATTTCATTAAAGTAAAGTCAAAATGGAAAAGCCACGTGTGAAAAACAAAGTATACCTTATAATTTAATAGCTTTTGCAGGAAACTCAAAGTAATAATTTGCTGTATGACTTTATCAGTCTCCGACATAATTGTGGAGGAATTTTGGCCCACTCTTCTTTACAGTGTTGCTTCAGTTCATTGAGGGTTGTTGGCATTTGTTTATGCACAGTCCTCTTAAGGTTCCACCACAACATTTCAATCAGGTTGGGATCTGGATTTTGACAGGGCCATTTCAACACCTTGATTCTTTTCTATTTCAGCCATTCTGTTTTAGATTTGCTGGTATGCTTAGAATCATTGTCCTATTGCGTGACCCAATTTCGGACAAGCTTTAGCTGTCGGACAGATGGCCTCACATTTCACTCTAGAATAATTTGGTATATAGAGCAGCTCATGGTCTGACTGCAAGGTTGCCAGGTCCTGTGGCTGCAAAACAAGCCCAATCATCACCCCTCCACCCCAGGGGTGACAGCTGATACACTGTGTTTGGTTTTCGCCAAACATGGCACTGTGCATTGTGGCCAAACATCTCCATTTTTGTCTCTTCTTTCCAAAGGACAATTTTCCAGAAGTCTTGTGGTTTGCTCAAATGTAACTTTGCAAACCTAAGCCATGCTGCCATGTTGTTTTTAGAAAGAAGAGACTTTATCCTAACAACCCTTCCAAACAAACCATACTTGTTCACTATTTTTCTGATTGTACTGTCAATGAACTTAAATATTTAAGATGGTAACTGAGGCCTGTAAAGTCTGAGATGAACTTTTAGTTTTTTAGCAGTTTCTCTGAGCATTGCACGGTCTGACCTTGGGGTGAATTTGCTGGGACTTCCACTCCTGGGAAGATTGGCAGCTGTCTTGATTGTTTTATATTTTTCAATAATCGTTCCCAACGTAGAATGATGAACTTTAAATTGTTTGGAAATGGCCTTATTACTCTTGCCAGTTTGATTGGCAGCAATAATTGCTTCTCTAAGATCATTGCTGATGTCTTCCCTCCATACCATTGTGTTAACACACACTTGAATGCTCCAGACCAGCCAACTGCTTAAACTTTGGCTTTTATAGAGGTAGTCACACTTGCTGATGATCAATTAATCAAGGGTATTTGATTACCAGCATCTGTCTGCTACTTAGCTTCTTAATTCCAATGGAAGCCGTAAGGATGTACTTAGTTTTTCACACATGGGTTCTTCATTTTGGCTTTATTTTTGTTAACTAAACCTGCTAAGGAACAGATGATTGTTATTATGTCCTGATATGTAAAACCATAGAATTTAAAGAGGGTGTACTTTCTTTTTTCCAATTACTGTACCCATAGGCGTGCGCAGCCTATTGCATTAGGGTGTGCACCCTAAAGCACAGGCACACGCGCATATATATATATATATATATATACACACACATATACACACATACACACACTGCTGTGTGTGTGTGTGTGCTGTGTGAGGGTGCTGTTAGTGTGATGTGTGTGTGACGATGCTGGTAGTGTGCTATGTGGGTGAGGGTGTTTGTGTGTGCGTGCTTGTGAGGGTGCTGTTAATGTACTGTGTGTGAGAGTGCTGTTTGTGTGTGAGGGTACTGGTAGTGTGCTGTGTGTGTGTTTGTTAGGGTCCTGTTTGTGTTTGTGAGGGTACTGTTAGTGTGCTGTGTGTGTGTGAGGGTGCTGTTTGTGTGCTGTGTGTGTTTGTGTGGGTGCTGTATGTGTGTTGGTGCTGTGTATGTCTGTGGGTGCTGTGTGTGTGGGTGCTGTGTATGGGTGCTGTATGTGTGTGGGTGCTGTGTATGTCTGTGGGTGCTGTATGTCTGTGGGTGCTGAATGTGTGTGGGTGCTGAATGTGTGTGGGTGCTGAATGTGTGTGGGTGCTGTGTATGTCTGTGGGTGCTGTGTATGTCTGTGGGTGCTGTATGTCTGTGGTGCTGAATGTGTGTGGTGCTGAATGTGTGTGGGTGCTGTGTATGTCTGTGGGTGCTGAATGTGTGTGGGTGCTGTATGTCTGTGGGTGCTGTATGTCTGTGGGTGCTGAATGTGTGTGGGTGTGTGGGTGGGTGATTGTGGGGGGTGGAGGTGGGGGTACATTAATTGCTATCCCCCCTCCCTTCTTACCTTTTGTAGGGAGGGGGGATCGTGCTGCTGCATCCTTCCCTGGTGGTCCAGTGGAGGAGGGGATCGTGCTGCTGCTTCCTTCCCTGGTGGTCCAGTGGAGGAGGGGATCCTTGCTGCTGTGATCCCTGGTGGTCCAGTGGAGAGTGAACTCTAGCGCCCTGTGGGGCTAGAGTTCACTCTAGCGAGATTTGAGCGTTGCCGTGGCAACGCTCATATCTCGCGAGAGGAACCCGGCGGAGCTGCCGGCAAGAGCTCCGCCGGGTCCTCTCCTGCCTCCCTCCCTGCATGTGGGTCAGTGGGGAGGGAGGCTGAGAGCAGAGCCGGCGCTCAGATAGCGCCGGCTCTGCATGAGCCGACAGGGGAGATCCTGAGATCTCCCCTGCCGGTCTCAATATGCATAGGCGTGCCGCGGGATTAGGGTGTGCCCAGGCACACCCGGCACACCCCGTGCGCACGCCTATGAGTCTGTACCTGCATTTGATTCCACTGGGTACATTTATTGACAAAACAGCCACTACAGGGGGCAGCCCACTAATCAAAGCGTTATTCTCTGTGATCATGCTGTTATCCTCTCTATTTCCCTGTTTGGGACTTGTTCATTACCCTGTCATGTATTTGATGTCACTTACTTTTTTCATACATGATTTCCTTGTGCTGCACGAGTGATGACTCTAGAACTAAACTCTCCATTCTCTGTTTGTTAATCTTTTTTATGATGCACTATGCTCTCGCCTTGAGGATCTCATGTACTGTGTAATTTCATCTAACGAATGTCTATTGTACATCTGTTTTCCTGTATCCTGAAGAATCAATAACATTTTATAATACAAAAAAATAAATAAATCTATATTAGTGGTGCTTAATGGTGCACTCTAAGCAACATTACACTGAGCTGTAGTGGTTATGTTGCCAAGAGCAGTATATTTCAACAAGCGTGCTGTTGTCTAAAGTCACCTTTAAGTGTGCCACAAACACATTTGTGACAGGGTTACAACAGGTTTAATGCAGCCCTTAAAATATGTTGTTTTCTAAAAATAAATTTCAGCATTAAATTGAGATTCATGAATATTTGTGACACCGGTTTTAAATTTGATTACAATTGGGCCACTGGTCCACCGAAACAAACAGTAAAAAATAGGCAAAGTAACTTAACATTTACCGTGCGACAGATGATTCAGTTGTGTACGCTCCAGTGTTCCTGATAAATTGGTTATTGAGTTCTATTTTTTTATGTCTGCACCAGGTACAATTTTGTTATTCTCTATGTATTTCATGTTGTGTTACACTTAATTAAGCCAAATAGTTTTTATTGAAGAACCCATGTAGAAGTTTGTCATCATCTAGAGTGTGGAGCTTCATTAAGTCTCAGCGTTATCTTCTTTTTCTGAAAACTGGCATATCCATTTGACAATTATAATTTTTTTTTTTACATTCTTTATTTTTGATGTGCTGTAACATTACACACAGTCTTGCTATGCCCCAACAGCATTGGCAAAATAATTGGGAACACAGAGTATATCATATCAACATATTAAGGCATACATTAGTATAGCACATTTTTATATTAGAAAGAAAAGAGAAAAAAAAATGGACAATAGTAACATTGCTGCTGTTAAAGCACAAAATACTGGAAGCCATTAGACATACTGATAACATATCAGTGTTAAACTAAAAGACTAAAGCTGGATTATTAGAGGGGCATTTTAGACAGATATTGGCTTACAGAAAAAGAACAGCATTGCTAAGACTAAAGGCAGTTATCTTCCTAGTAACTTATTATAAACTGGGCTGCATAGAGTGATAAAACATTTTTTTTAAATTCTGAATCTTAAAAAAATTCTGAATTTTTTTTAAATTCTCTTTATGTTGAGGTCCTGGGTAGGTACTGTGCCGGTTCTTCAAAGAATGAGTTGCTCCCACAGTGACGCGGCACTTGCTGTGGTCTCTGGGGTCTCTGAGTAAGCCGAGAGGATGGTGCAGCACCAGCTGACTGCAGAGGTCGTCCGTTTAGTACCGGGCCCCTCTCCTGCGTGGAACAAGCCACCTCACCTGGTACATGGACTGGATGCTACTCCTGAAATAACCCAGCAGTTGACAGCTCATGTGTTTTAGCAGTGGGGGGGGGGAGAATTGTTGGAGGGGTAGGTGCTCGGGCTCAACTTCCATGATGTTTCTTCCAAGAAGGCCAGAGACCGGGAGATCGGCCACTTCTCTGCGTCTCCGCCTCTGGAAAGGCCGCAGTTAGGCCACAAGATTTTCCGGTTTAGATAGCCCTGCAGTGGTGCATGAGGTGTACGCTGATCCAGCTAGCTTTAATAAAGCAGTGGTAGCTTCACAACTAACAGTAGTGTACTAAAAAACCCATTAGTTTAAGATAAGTCAAACTTTGGTACAGAGCTCAAAAAGAGTACGACCATTCAGCGTAGCGGTTAGTCCCCGCCCCCGACTATTAACTATTAACATTCCAGGTTTCTTTATTTTTAAGAAAAATAGTATAGAATATTATAATAAAAAATGTATCGACAAATCAACGAAAACAAAAATAGTGAAACATAGCTTGCCTGTGCGGGTTAAGTAGAACTAGTCATTTAGAAGCATTAACCAACATAGATATATCAACTTATGAACAGAATATCTTGTCAGGACTATATGTGCATATAGGGATTAGATTGTTCCTTTGAAACTAAAACAATTTGCACCAAACAGTGTAATAATACCAATTTGTAAGCAGGAATAACACAAACAAAAAGATCAAATTCAACATACACGCCATATCACATTATGGCTCAGAGGATTTTCAAGTATGAGGCATCATGAACAAGAGCAGTACATTTTTCTATCTCCATCGTGTCTCTGTTTTTTTTGACAATTAATTAAAATTAATAAGTCAGTGTGGCTATAAGTATGAATATCTTTCTAGTAATTAACACGTCTGCAATGTCAATTTTTTCCAACCTGGACAGCGCTGGTAGACTGAGACTGATGGACTAACCAACCACTAATGATTTTAGTTAATCACTAGGTTCAACAAAATTGTCATTGGTAATTGTAAGTGTAAATTTCTGAGCGACGTTGCTGGGGGAGGGCTTTAGCTGGTGCAGCCCATAATATTGGCGTCTTTTTTAGTCTTATGTACATAGTTACATAGTATGAAAAGAGAGACAGGAAATATAGTTTGAAGCACCATCCAAGTTTCAACAAATTAGGAAAAATATTTTCTTGACCCCACACTGGACAAATTTAATACTGTTTTTATTTTTCATTATATACAGGGAGTGCAGAATTATTAGGCAAGTTGTATTTTTGAGGATTAATTTTATTATTGAACAACAACCATGTTCTCAATGAACCCAAAAAACTCATTAATATCAAAGCTGAATATTTTTGGAAGTAGTTTTTAGTTTGTTTTTAGTTATAGCTATGTTAGGGGGATATCTGTGTGTGCAGGTGACTATTACTGTGCATAATTATTAGGCAACTTAACAAAAACAAATATATACCCATTTCAATTATTTATTATTACCAGTGAAACCAATATAACATCTCAACATTCACAAATATACATTTCTGACATTCAAAAACAAAACAAAAACAAATCAGTGACCAATATAGCCACCTTTCTTTGCAAGGACACTCAAAAGCCTGCCATCCATGGATTCTGTCAGTGTTTTGATCTGTTCACCATCAACATTGCGTGCAGCAGCAACCACAGCCTCCCAGACACTGTTCAGAGAGGTGTACTGTTTTCCCTCCTTGTAAATCTCACATTTGATGATGGACCACAGGTTCTCAATGGGGTTCAGATCAGGTGAACAAGGAGGCCATGTCATTAGATTTTCTTCTTTTATACCCTTTCTTGCCAGCCACGCTGTGGAGTACTTGGACGCGTGTGATGGAGCATTGTCCTGCATGAAAATCATGTTTTTCTTGAAGGATGCAGACTTCTTCCTGTACCACTGCTTGAAGAAGGTGTCTTCCAGGAACTGGCAGTAGGACTGGGAGTTGAGCTTGACTCCATCCTCAACCCGAAAAGGCCCCACAAGCTCATCTTTGATGATACCAGCCCAAACCAGTACTCCACCTCCACCTTGCTGGCGTCTGAGTCGGACTGGAGCTCTCTGCCCTTTACCAATCCAGCCACGGGCCCATCCATCTGGCCCATCAAGACTCACTCTCATTTCATCAGTCCATAAAACCTTAGAAAAATCAGTCTTGAGATATTTCTTGGCCCAGTCTTGACGTTTCAGCTTGTGTGTCTTGTTCAGTGGTGGTCGTCTTTCAGCCTTTCTTACCTTGGCCATGTCTCTGAGTATTGCACACCTTGTGCTTTTGGGCACTCCAGTGATGTTGCAGCTCTGAAATATGGCCAAACTGGTGGCAAGTGGCATCGTGGCAGCTGCACGCTTGACTTTTCTCAGTTCATGGGCAGTTATTTTGCGCCTTGGTTTTTCCACACGCTTCTTGCGACCCTGTTGACTATTTTGAATGAAACGCTTGATTGTTCGATGATCACGCTTCAGAAGCTTTGCAATTTTAAGAGTGCTGCATCCCTCTGCAAGATATCTCACTATTTTTGACTTTTCTGAGCCTGTCAAGTCCTTCTTTTGACCCATTTTGCCAAAGGAAAGGAAGTTGCCTAATAATTATGCACACCTGATATAGGGTGTTGATGTCATTAGACCACACCCCTTCTCATTACAGAGATGCACATCACCTAATATGCTTAATTGCTAGTAGGCTTTCGAGCCTATACAGCTTGGAGTAAGACAACATGCATAAAGAGGATGATGTGGTCAAAATACTCATTCGCCTAATAATTCTGCACTCCCTGTATTTTTCTCTGATTTATGTAACATTATGAATGTTAATTGATTACCGGTTGGTTTTATGTCATTTGGGGGTTGAAGGAATATATCCCTCTCCTTTGTACTTG